ACATGGCCTGAACTAACTTTTAGCATTTCTTATAATAATTTTTTTTAGACTTGTGAAAGAATGGACTACCTCTAATCATTCTAAGTAGTGGAGGTTGGTTCCTGGCTTAAAAGAGAGCACAACATTTCTGCTTAGACTGCTTTAAGGCTGAGCTATGGGTTTCTTGGTATTCAACAGGATAATGTCTACTTTTTGGTCAATATTGACTGGTTTGGTTGCTTTGATAAACATCTGTGCTTACTGAAACTTCCTCCTTAGCCTCTTGCCACTTTTGAGGATCTGCTGAAGACTCCTCTGCATCTCATTTCTGAGTGTGCAGGTCTCTGTTCAAGTAGACTTGTTCATCTGGGCTCCACTTTGCTAAGCCCTAATGAACTCCATTGGTTTTCCTTTAGAGGTGCCCCATCTTTTTAGAGAGATCAGGCTTCTGAAGTAATTCCTTGTAGAGTGCAATTTTAGATCAAAGTACATTCAGTCTACTAGCTCCCATTTGTACAATAACATCAACATTACAAACTTTACAACTGAATTTCTATTAATGTTTACTTCCAAGAAAGACATAACAGAAAGCACAGGTCTGATTGGCCAATAAATAAGTGAGATATAAGATTTGGTTGGCCAATTCAAATCTAAGAATGAACAAATTAGTTTAAGCATGAAATATGGTCAGATTTTTTTATGCTTTTGTGTCATGGCTTCAGAATAGCCAATATGTCAAGTAACTTGTGTCTTCAAGTATACCTAATTGTTTATTTTTATTGGGCTGCAATTTTAAAATTGCAGGCCTATAGATTTCCACTGTTGTTTGTCTGTCCATGCATCCTTCCTTAATCTTGAGAACAGAATTAGATAGATGAAAATTGAGACCAGATATAGACCAGAGCCCTCAATTATACAAATTTCTGGTCTGGATTGGAAATTGCATGAATTTTTAAAATTAAAATATGATTAAAAGTTACAGCCCAGCATTGTGATGTCACAATCATCTAGATTTTTCAAGTTTGTCTTATTGTGATTTATCCTCTTGGAAACATAATATAGTAAAGAAAGCATTTAAAATTAGACCCAGATTTACTTCAACAATGATTTTAAATATTAAAATTAATAAATTCTAAAAAATTTTTTCTTTAAAAAAACTCTTAAGAACCACAAGTGAATTACACTTTTTTAATTCCGACTTCGATAGAGTTTAAAAATGTGAGGCCGGGACCACACACTCCCCCTCGGACGGAAACCGGCTGTCGAGCTAAAGTCAATATATCGGTGACTTATTACGTAAATAGGATTGGTGTGACCAAGGAACGGGGTGCGAGACGATTTAATTGTCGCATTCCAGCCCTAATTGACAGATTCACGGTCGTCAATCGTGAGAACGATCGAGGGATCGACCGTNGATATATATTTGGTGCCTTCATTGAGTACTAAGTTATATGTCAAGTGAACTTTACTCACCTTCTCCCAAATGTTAAAGGTTCTCTCATCATATCCATATGGGTACTGGTAAAGGATATGATTTTATTATGTAAGCACTCTCTTGCTCATAAAGATATTTGTAATTCAATTTGAAATTGTTTGGATAGTTGTATATTTAAATCATTGTATTGTTAATTGTTCAATTATCAGGTTATTATATTAATCATTTGAATATTATTTTAATTGTAATTTATTATTGTCAACTTTGTCAACTTGGTAGGTGAACAAAGAAATAAATTAAACAAAAGTATTTGTTAGATTAATAAAGCAAATGAAACACAATCGAAGAATCCTTTAGAAGTGGCAGAAGTCGTATATGAATTGATGTGTACATGTACAGAACGGAAATGCTATATTGGAGAAACAGGAAGAAAACTGGAAGTGATGCTGAAAGAGCATGAGGCGGCAATTTGACTAAACAGAACAGAATCCCCGTGGCAACAACACTGCAGTATAACAAATTGTATTATTGACCGAAATAATATTAAAATATTGTATAAAGTAAAAAATCTTGTAAAAAGACGCATTATAGAACATTATTGTATTAAAGGACATGTAAATTGTATAAATTTAAATACCGGCGCATGTGTTGATGCATGCTGGGATAGCTTGATGGGTTATAAAAGTACTGGCAAAGTAACAGTGTAATATCCACTGATGAGGCTGACAAGCGAAATATATATGGATAAAATAAAGCAAGAAATAGTGAAAGTAATTTCCTGGTCTTTCTCTGTTGTTTTTTAAAACTCTATCGAAGTCGGAATTAAAAAAGTGAAATTCACTTGTGGTTCTTAAGAGTTTTTTTTAAAGAAAAAATTTTTAGAATTTATTAATTTTAATATTTGAATATACCGATCCCATTGTTTTATTATTTATTTATCATTTAATGATTTTAAAAACTGTTTTGATTTAGAAAGACACAAAATGAATTATGTTCATGAAAGATATGTCAGGATAAAAAATGAAATTTGATTTAGTGAAGTTAAACTTCTCAATAGTCAATTGTACTTCCTAAAAATGTGCTTGAAATTTCATATATTTTTTGAATTATTAATCTTATTTGTATGTATTTTGAAAATACTGTAGTGTTTTTGTTTTTTTAATAGGATAAAATTGTCTTAATTAAGCACATTTCAAATTTAAGCTTTCAAACTATAAATATATTTAAAAACTTTACATAAAATCTATTAAATTTACAAAAATTTTTGTCTGCATACATCCTAAGAAAAATGTTAGCATTTCTTTTGTATGTTTCTTTTCAATAAGAAATTCTATCTATAAAGTCAATAATTATGAATTTTATGACTTGAAAATAAGAAGAAAGAGTAGGTTATATATTATTGTTTCAAGTGGTTAAAGTTTCTATCACGCTAGCTATATTCTTTGCTTTGAAATAAGGAGTTAATGATTGTACATGTGTACATCTTTTATATAAAACAAAATAATCTTATTTGGATGAAAAAATGCAACAGAGAGCCTAAAGAGAAAGTATTGATTAAAACTGGCATGCATGTTGTTCAGTTTTTGGCTGTAAAATGACATTGCACACGCCTCGTATGATTTCATATTCAAACCAGTTAGGACTTGTGTTAGAACAAATCTATTGTAAAGTGAATGTGACAGTTTCAGTTTACAAGTTTATAATTTCTATTTTAATTAATTTTAATTATTTAATATGACAACTAAAGAAATTGAAAGCCCAAAAAAAGAGGAAGTGAACTTGTACATTTAATAAAGATTGGCTGACACAAAATGAATTTCAAAAATGGCTATGACCTGTTTGACAGTGTTGACAATTTTTCTAAATTTCTGACCCTGTCTGGGTCAGCAATATTGAAAAGTTGGCAACATGTTTCTCAGCAAAATCTAAAATAAATTTTTTGACAGCCCTTAAAAATTTTTAATTATTTAAATTTTATATAAAAATGTCAAATTCATTTTTAATACAATATTGATATTTATTTATATATTTTAAAGTGGAATAATTAAAGTATTTATTTGATTAATTAAATTTTTAATACAGAAAAACATATTTTTTCTGGTCTCATAGTAAGAATAAGTTCTACTCTAACTGCACTTACAAACAACCAAACCTTAAAAACTTTTAATATTGTAGTCTTTGTATTACATCTTTTGGTCAGAATAAGCATTATTTCATTAAGTGAGGCAATATAAAGAATGCTAGCTTCTTCTAATTCCTTAAAGAATTCAAAAAATTAATGAATTTGTTTGATTTAAAATTGGGAAGGTATTAAATAACTGTTTTCTATAACTTTGAACTAGATGAGAAATTAAAATAAATGTTTTAATTAATAATGTATGCGAGTTTTTAGGAAAATTCATAAGACATTAATAATTAAATCCATTTAGAAAAGTTATAGGAAATCCAATAGCAACTTATTGTTATCTCCTAATTATTATTTATGGGGGTAGTTATCTTTTTGTCTTTGTGACATCACCCATAAATGTATAAATAAATTAATAACTTGACCAATTTTAGTACTATGAGAAGTATGAAAAAAATTGACTTTTACAATTTTGAGCTTATACAAAGAATGATTTACTGCTCTTAGATTGATCAATATATAATTCCATTCTTTTTCAAATTTAGAGAAAAGTATATAGTATATCAGAATTTTGTAATTGTTATAATAATTAAATTGTATTATATAAAAATTTAATTTATAATTTTCTTTTTTATTTAGGTGTTTCACTTGCATTAATGCTTAATGGAGTTATCACAAATGTTATTAAATTAATTGTTGGAAGGTTAGTTTATTTTTAAGATTATAATAATATATAATAAAATAACAATAAAAATAATTGTTTATTTTGAAAAATAAATTAATTCAAATACAGTAAGACCCCACTTAATGCTGCCTCAATTAACATTGATTCGATATAACGTGGTCTGCTCAAAGCCTTAAAAAGTGCTTAAAATTTACGCTGATTCAAATTAACGTGACTGTTAATCAATTCGTATATAATACGATTATTCCTGAACATGAACCAATCAGCAAAAGGTGGCAATTCGTTTTAGCACTGTACTTTCCTTAAGTCTGTTTGTTTGGTGCAATTTTGGAAAAAATATAACATCATAGATGCCACATGTAATATCAACTTTGCTTGGCAAGAATTAACTTATAAATACATGAACAGAGCGTGGAAGAAGTTATGGCTGGAAATATCCAAGAATTCTCAATGAGAAGAACCTATTGCTGTATCATTAGGTTGATCAAATTGTCAACCTAATCAGTACAGCAGGACTAGGAGATATAGAAGAGCAGGATATTGAAGAGTTACTGCAGATTTCTGGTAAGAGCCTTACCAATGATGATTTTTAAGAACTGGCAGAACAAAGAATTCATTTAGAACTGGAAAATAATGATTCTGAAAACAAAAAACCCAAAGAATTTCTCTACACATTTTCTTAGTAAAAATTTAGTAATGATAATTGAAATCGTTGATCAAATTGTAGCGAATGATCCAGGTTTAGAAAGGAGTGCAAAAGCAAGACAAGATGTTTTGGATGCACTCTCCTGCTACTGACATTTGCTTAAGGAAAGAAAAAGAAAGCAAGAAATGAAACTACACAACTTTATTGCAAAAACAAGAATTTCAGAAGAGCCAGGACCTTCTTCACAAAAAATGAACTTTACATATCTGTATGCATATGTTTGTGTTATTTAACATATATATTATTATGCAAGTTAATATAAAAGTAACTTAAAATTAAAGTAAAATTTGTTTATTTTTGGCCGTGTGTTCCCCTTTCCCTGTGTTAAAATGACCTGGTTTAATGCTGTTTTGTTTAGTGCTTTGTCATTTAGGAACGCATTCCCGTGTTAAGCAGGGTCTTATTGTATTACAAATAAATTGGAATATGTTAAGAATTCTTTATTATATTTCAGTTTGTTTGTTTTGTTTGAAATTATTTTTTAAATGATCTTGTGATCCAAATAAGTCTTATCTAATAAAGATAAAAATATTTTTTAGTTTGTCAGATACATATAGTCCATCTCAAACCTTAGTTTTCTCATTTGAGAATGGTTATCATGAAAAGAAGCGTTTTATATTTTAGATACATCTTACTTGTTAGGAAGTCATCACATATACAAAGAATATTTGTTTTTAACATAAATTTTTAGAAGAAATAAGAAATTAATTCTAAAGATTATAAATTAATGATAGAAAACAATATATAAATATGTAAGTTCTAAGAGAATATTATTTTTAGGCCTCGTCCAGATTATTTTTGGAGATGTTTTCCAGATGGACAAATAAAGCCAAACCTTGAATGTACAGGCAAAAAAGAAGATATAATAGAAGGTCTTAAAAGTTTTCCAAGTGGACATTCCTCTTGTAAGATTCAGTTTTATTCAGTTTAATAAGAACTATATCTACAAATGTTTTAGCATTAAATGCTTTTAGGTATAAATGCTTATGCAAAATAATAATTAATTTTACTCCAATATAAAGTAAATTTTAATAGGCATATATTAATTGTAAATATTTATTTTTAAACATATAACATATAACAACAAAGCTTTGAGAAATGTTATGTTTTATTGAATACATCATTTAATGCTGTTTAGTCTAGCACTTTGTTGTCTAGGAGCATATTTTCTATGAAAAGATGCTCTACATAAAAAGTTTTTCCAAATAAAAAATCCTTATTCCAATAAAAAAAATTTTGAAAAAGTATTTTAAGAATGTTCAGACTCTTTAATGAGTTAAATTTTATACAATTAGTTTTAAATTTAGTAAAAATTTTTAGTTTTAGTTAGTTTTAATGCAAAAGAAATTAGAGATGCACAACACACAAAAAAGTGAGGATTGTAAAGGGACAGACTATGCTGGCCATAGACTTTCAGCAGATGCCAGCAATTGTTGGATCAAACTTTGAGTTATGACAAGGCATAAAAGAAGTTTACATTGAAGGAGAATTGTCTTTTGACAACAAAGTTGCTAATGAATTCAAGGAAAGGTTCATGAAACTTATGGAAAGCAAAGGATATTTTAAATATGATGGTGAACAGATAAACTGGAAGGCACTGCCCCAAAAGCCACTGTTTCATAATAGGAATATGCAAGTCAAATTCAAAAACAATGCGAGACGTTGTTGAATTTTCACAAAAACATTTATATTACAAGTAAAATGTACATACAGTTACAAAAGTTCACAAACAAAACAATTACAATACTTCAGGTGTAACAAAGTTCAAATACGGACCTGTTGTCGTGGCTTAAAAAGCCACGACAACAGGTCCGTCTAAAAGGACACCTTGTGACGAACTCCTTCCCCTGAGGAAATGTCCTTAACAAGTCGGTGAGCCAAAACAACTCCCTCAGCAAGTCCGCTGAAGCTCTGCATTATGGACTATGATGTGCTTTTGCTGACTCTTGGTCAACACGAGTTCTCTTAGCAGGTTGTAGACGGAATCCCAAAAATCCCGCTTAAACTTAGTTCTTATATACTGATTGGAACGAAGGCAAATTCACCAATCAACACCTAGTAGCTCTAACGGAGGTCCGCAGGTCGTACAATGTCTTGTAGCCAATCCGCAGTCGTTTCCAAAGTCGCCTGATCGGCATTCCCATGGTGACAACCGTCGTTCGTTTGAAAAGACAGAAAAGCGCGGGAAATCGTATGTCGGACGATTTTATCCCGACAATGCAGTTACTGGATTTAAAGTTAACAAAGAGGAAATTGTTGTAATGGTTTGCCAAATATTGATGATACTCATGAAAGTCTCTGAATAGTAAAATATATTGAGTGATGTGCTGCCATGCATCAATTATTTTGAAGATTTCATTGAGTTTTGCTAAACAGTTGAGAGGGATATAGGCAATTATCACTATTATTAACTTGCTGTCATTATTTTCGAGTATAGCTTTGTTTGTTGAAAGTAGTAGTAATATAAAATTGTCAGCTTTCTTGATTTGAAATATTTTAAATAAATGTTTTTTATTAAGGTGCGTAGACCGCCACTTGGACATCCTGGACCAAGTGGTTTGCATGCTTGAACTATTTCAGTTATAAATTTGTTAAAGAAAGTTGATTTGTAAAATGATTCAAGTGTAATCCACATTTTGGTTATTCCTATTATGTCTGGTTTAAATTTTGATTGTAAGGAATTGAGTGATGATAATTTATTTTTAAGACCTTGGCTATTCTAGTTTATGACAGATAGTGGTTGACTATTTATGATATCCTTTTCTTGGTAAGGTTTATTTTGATGAATTGTATATCAACTTGCCATTTCAATAGACATGGGAAAAGGCACAAAAGTATCTGCATAAACCAGTTTTTCTGTATTGATACTGTAAGTATTCTGTCTTGACCTATTAATAGAGAATCATTGTATAGTTTTATTTGACGATGTTGTTTCCTCAATTCATATAGGTTGGAAGTAAGTGTTTTCTGCTGTTCTGTGATGCTTTGATTAGGTCTGGTGAGATTTGCAAGCCTTTCCAGTCTTCTAGTAGATTTTGTTGTTTTCTTATTATAAAGGTGGTAAAAATCTGGTCACGGATTTGTTTTTTCCAAATGCTAATCTTATGACTGGATTATTTGATTTAGTTATTTGGGTTATATCTAAAACATTATCTTGTGATACATTATGTAAATTTAGAGAGGATTTGATAAAATTATAAATTTCCAATTTAGAAATATTTTTTGAAATAGGATGATAATACAGAATGTAAGCGAAAGTAATTATATAATTATTTTCATGCATGTAAACCTGTGTAAACTGGATAACTTTGGACTTTCCCAGTACCAAATATTTTTTCCAGTTTGGCAGGTTTCTGTTTTGAACAGATTTTACTGTACCTTACATATCAAATAATATAATTTAATATGATCAGACTTAACCTTAGAAATAGAACTTATGAATTTTAATAGACAAAACTTGGTAATATAACCTAATTATAAATTAATTCATCAGAAAATATAAATTATTTTTTACAATTATTGTGCTTATGTTAAAAAAAATTATGTAAGAGAAATGAAAATAGCTATTCCAATAGTAAATGTAAATAAAATATTTTTCAGTTTCATTTGCAAGTATGGGTTATGTTTCGCTGTATCTATTTGGAAAGCTTCAAGTGTTTACTACTAAGGGAAGAGGACAATCTTGGAGATTATTAATATCCATTAGTCCTTTGTTGTTTGCACTTATTATTGCTTTGAGCAGAATGTGTGATTACCATCATCACTGGCAAGGTAAGAATTTTATATTATTACATAGTATACAATAATAATTGATATTTGATGAAATAGTAGTATTTATGTGTATTAAACAATGCTTAACTTTCATTCATATGACTTCAATTCACTATAATGAGTAATTAATACTAGTCTATTCAAACTTCTACTTTATACTGGTTTATTTTTAGTTATATTTTTTAGTAAATATTTTTTTGATTGGATATTTATTTATCAGATTGAATGCATACATTTTCCAAAATTCTGCTTATGATTCAATTACTTAATTTCTAAATTTTCTCTATGTGTAGATATAGAAGTGCATTTATACCAAATTGATGGTGCCAAATCCAAATGAGCACTCTGTTCCCCTTGACCTAATTTTTGGAGGTCACTCAATCAGCAATTTTAACTATTGATGATAAATAAATAATCCAAATTACAAAGTTAGAATCCAAGTTAGCACAACTAACTCCTGTTTCAAATTTGACAAAATGAATTATTCTAAGTGAGAATTAAATTAAGAGATGGTCTGTGTTTTGCTTGTTCAGAAAATAGTCATTTCTGAAGTGATGTTGCTGTTTATTTGTTTGAAATAACATTATTTCATACATAACCAGTCTTATTTTACAGTTTCTGCTTTGTTTCTTAATTTTTAATGGTTATAAAATTAGTTATCACTTCATCTCTGAAAATTAGGTCAAGGCTATCCAGATGATTATTATTAGATTCAGTAAATAAATAACTTCAATTTCTGCATTTGTTTTCCTCAGTTATTAGATCTAATAGTCTTTTCAAGCATTCTATGCAATGAAAACAAAAACTAAATATCTTTTGCCCAATAATCTCTTAGATAAACTAACATTTCTATCTTTAAAAACAATAATTATTTTTTCTTCTTTATTTATAATTAAAGTTTAAATTTTTATAAAGACCTTAAACTTATTTTTATTAATCTGTATATCATCATTCCATCTCAATTCTGTTAAAAATATATTTTTTTAAGTATGAAAAAATGAATAACAATAAACAAACAAATGAAATTTGTCATAACAAAAATATTTCATTTCTGTTATGATATATTTCATTTGTTTGATATTTTTCTAATTTATGAAATGTCATATTTGAAGTTTAATTTAATAAATATGCTATTTATTTGTGTTCAAGCTAATAAGATTGTATTTATCAAACTTTTAAAAAATAAATATGATCAAACAAATATTTATATAATAAATTACATTATTTTATAAATGTAATTTTATTTTCATGTGACTAAAATAAAATTAGTCAGAAAATTAAAATAATTCATAAATGAAATTTAATGCAATTTAAATTATATTTGTATAAAAACTCGATTAATTTCTGCTCTACGGGCCCTAAGAAGGCCGTTTTTTTGTGACCAGCGCCAGTTTGGTCAAACCCGCAACGGGAACAACCGGCCGACGAGGGATGGGGCCCAAGGTATTCGAGTTAAAGTACTTGTGAAAAATTTGGAGGTCCCCACTGGATGAAAATTTTATCCTCCAGAGCAGCTGGCTGCCACTGCCATCAAATAAAGTGGTATAATCAATTGAAATATTTTCTTGAAAAATCCAAAGTGTTTTTTTCAAAAATTCAGATTTTATCAAAAGTCTGATAAAATTAATAGAAAGTATTTTTCACAGATGTTTTAACCGGGTCGTCTCTGGGTTTCTTTTTTGCTTGGTTGTGTTACCGTCAATACTATCCAGCACTAAATCATCCGAATTGTGCCATGCCATATTCAGCATCATCGAATCACACGACTAATGGAAACAATCCAGAAAAAATGGACGAAAATTTAGAAGAAATCAAATGGATATGAAAATTAGCTTTAGGATTTTTAGATAAAGAGAATTTATATACAGAATTTAATCTCTCAGTTTTATGAGAGAATAAATAAACCTATTTTTAGGTAAATAATATTTTCCTGGTGATCTTAACATTTTATTAGATATTTCAATATATATATATGTGTGTGTGTGTGTGTGTGTGTATAATTTTTGTAAATGACAAAATTTTAATGATGACAAAATTATCTGTAATTTATCTTAACATGGATGGAACATGTCTAAAATATTATACAATATTTGTTAT